TAAAGCTAATTATGCTCTTAAAAAAGATGGTTCTTCAATGGATCTTTAGTAACTGTAGATCCATGAACCCTTTCAAGAACGCTTTGCATGTTTAAAAGGTTCTCTGCATCGTTGATTGATGGAGATTGATGGAGAATGTGCTGTAGATGGTTCTATGCAGAAACCTTTTGAAAAGCGTTCTAAAAAGAACCAAAAATGGTTCTTCTGTTGTTACTACATCAAGCTTGTAGCAATATAAGAACCTTCATCAAAACGGTTCTGTATAGAACCATCTACAGCACATTCTCCATAAATGCAAAGAACAATTTCACCATGCAAAGAACCCTTTAATCATGCAGAGGGTTCTTTGAGTGTTTAAGGTTCTATATGGAACCACTGCCTTTACTAAAGAACCCTTGAAGAACCCTCTGTTTTTAAGGGTGTAGTGTGACTCCTTATAATCACAACTGACGAGCTCGTCTGAAGGAGAGGCACATCAGCTTTTACATCTTTACTGTTGGATGGCTAGTTTAGGGCTGTCGTCAAAGACCTTCAGCTGCTGCAGCCTTTCTTTCACGCTGTCGTATTCTTTCTGCCACACAGCCTGTGAGAGGGAGGCCGGGTCGATCTCCAGGAAACGGTAGGCATCCTTGGACTGCACTCTGAATATCTGAACAGCTCTCCCACAGGACTGACCAAACGCTTCCCAAATCTGTGAAAATGTGACAAATTACAACAGTCAGAGGAGAAGTGGATTCTTTGGGGACACACTGGGTCCACTTAGACCACTTTACCCATCATTTGATTAGTGTATAATGTTAACATTTAACACTCTGGATTCCACAAACTCACCCATGAATCAGATTTAATGTTTTTATATCTATTTCTTACTGTTTGTGATAATACAGTGCAGAAATCCAGTTCAGACACTTCCTGAATCTGTAGAGTCGCCCTTTCCATTCCATCTTATCACAAGATCATACGAGACTCACATCCGGAGTTATGAGCCGATGAAGAGGGGCTAAGATACACGTCATCTGCCTCTCACCGTGTGGAGCTGGTGGATTCGTGTGTCCGTCTACATTCTGTGTGAAACTGACTAATGGACACCCAGGAAATCACTAAGGAAATCATATATATATATATGTAACATCTGAATATATTGAAGTAAATGTCTTGTAGATGTTCTGTTGATACATTACTTACATTAAGTAGATGTATTGTTAATATGTTACTTCCATTCCGCAAAACCTAATCATATCAACCTTACCCAAAACCTAACCCTCACCCTGGCCCTAATCCTAAGCCTAACTTTAAGAGCATTTTCCATAAGTGCTGCCAGGGCAGGGTTCTCATCCGTTTCTCATCCGAACCATGGACTTTTTACCCTCCTCCAATCTGGGAGGCGGTACGGGAGCCTCCGCTCCCACACCGGTAGGCTCAGGAAGTGCTTCTTCCCTGAGGCTGTGACCCTGCTGAGCTCCACACTGCCACGTTCACTGTATCTTTACACTCACTGCACTGTTATTGTACTTTATTTCCTAGTATTATTGCAGTATTTAAATTTGCACAGTATATTACTGCACTATTCATATGTGCACCGACATTTACTATATAAGTTTACTCTGCATACTTATCTTTTACATATGCTGCTCTCACAGTACATACTACCTTAATTGTATGCTCTCCACTCACTCTGTATATATGTATATTATATTCATACTTGCATATCTATTTTTTTTACTAGCCGTCCTTCTGCACTTTATATCTAAATAATACCATATTTTGCACTTCTAGGTAGATGCTAACTGCATTTCATTGGCCCTGTACCTGTACTGTGCACAATGACAAAGTTGAATCTAATCTAATCTAATCTAATCTAATCTAATCAGTCTGTATTAAGGCTATTAATCAAGGGCTTGTGTCATTTATGTGTCATTTTTAGTAGCAGCTCATGCTGCAAGAACAATATCACAATGTGCTCCAACCAGCAGCAAACTGGTCCTGGGTTCACTTGGAAGCAGGGCGATTTTTAGAGGACCAGAACTGAATTGTTTACTGAGCACCCAAATACGGGAAGAATGTTCACACCTGTAAGAACGGACCGAACTAAAGAAGAACTCTGATAGGTCTGCACCAAACCAGGCAGGTGTGAAAGCACCCTAAAATCTGAAATACTGGATTCCACTTTCCCCATATAACATGTTATCTGTTCACACTGTCTTTTAAAACAATCAGTTCAAAACATTTTAATTGAACAATTTCAGCAATGACGTCATTCTGTGATGTTGTATTCAAAAACTTCAAAACAAGGTGAGATAGAATTTAAAAATTGTGAATAAAATTTGAATTGTCCTGACAAAGCCAGCTAAATAAGCTTGAACAGTAAGAACAGTCACATCTATAAACCACTTTGGCTTAACAGAGCATACAGCTGGTCACTGATTGAGATGGATTACGTCAGTCTAAGAATAGAACTTCAAGAGTAGAAAATGCAGAAGCAGATTGCAGAAGCTCAACTCAACATATTTACTGGCTACAAGTTAGGAGAGAGAAATTTAGGGTTAGACATGTAAAGGTATAAACTGTGCAACACCAACATATGTTTTTCCACTGTCTGCACTAAGGATTGAGGGCGTTGCATTAAAGCATCATCTGTGCCTTTAGCACCAAATACGGAATATTAGCTGAACCATGTGATTCGAGAGCTGGTAACATGCGTCCCATTGAGGAATTGTAGGAAAGGTGGAATTTTCCACATATCAGGTGCCCGTTTACAGATATAGCTGTGCCTAGGGTCAGCAGTAGGGACTTTTGAGACTAATTGTCATGTAGGCTTCCTCCAATAAATGTCACCCACGGTATATAAGCAGCTTTTTCTCAAAGATATTTGAAGCAGTCTTTAATGCTGCTTTTACATATTGCCTTATTCTAAATCAGCAAAGTCAATGCTTATTTATATAGTGCTTTTTGTCACAAGGCAACTTTACAGAAAAATCCGGGTCTCCTGAGCGTCCCTAAACGCTCGTATTCCCTAAGAGCAAGAGGAAGAAACCTTGAGAGGGACCAAGACTAAAAAGGGGAACCCATCCTCCTCTGGTTGACACCGGATAGCAAACAGCATTAGTATTAAATATAAGAATATAAAACAGGGAAAAACAGGCGCAGCAATGGGTAATTAGATTAGTTTTAGTTTATGCAGCAGCAGCATCATCAGGAGGGTCAGTTCATGAGGGTTAGGTTTGCACAGCGTTGTACAACATGAAGCTCAATGGTGGTCAAGCCGGTCCAGAAGGGAGAGTCAGTTCTGTAAAGAGTGACTGATCACAGATTACAAGGTTAACAGAGCAGCAGAGACTCCGGCAGTTCTAGTTATTACAGCCTCACTAAGAGGGAGAGACAGAAGGTAACAGAGTCATGAGGCTCCCTGAGATGTCGGCACCCCTCCAGCTCCAAATAAAAAAAGGGAAAAGTTTTTATTTCATGAACCAAGCAAAATGTTGCAGCATTTTTAGTTGTGTTTACTTTTATCTTGGGTCTAAACCATCACTATTACAGATACTTACAGAATTACTGAACTATAAATACAGCATTGATAATAATATTTTATATAAAAAATATTGTGTGTTAATATATCTCAACAACAGGTTCACATGTTTTGTGTCCCAGCATGTACACTTTCAGCCAGTTTTGAATATAATTTTCAGTGTTTAGCTTTTATGCAGTATTTCTAAATTTTCTTTGAACTCTATGAATGACTTATTTCTGCATTCAATATTTTAAGTTATATCTAAGCTTTATCATGAGTTCAGAATGGTGCACTAACGGTGTGCATCCACATGCAACTTCACCTTGCTGCCTCCTATTCATTTCACTGGAGAGCTCTGCTGCATCACCTGCTGCATGCTGAGTGGCAAAATCCAAATGAGTGCAGTCGCTGCTTTGCATTTAGCCAAACAGGCAAGAGTAGACTGGTCTTCATCACAAACGGCAAAACATAAACACTCTCCAAGGCTTTGAATCATATGACAGTTTAATATTACAGTTTTTTTTATCTACAGAACTGCTGACAGCGAAGATTTACAGCGAAGATGTTTGATTGTATGAAGTTTACATAGTTTGATCAGGAACCAAAATTTAAATCACACAGAGCTAACCAAGTGGATGACTGATGCAATCTGAAAACTATTCTATTCTCATTGTAAGCTTCTGGTGGCGGCATGGTGGCGCAGTGGGTAGCGCTGTCACAGCAAGAATGGCCTGGGTTCGATTCCCGGCCGGGTGACCAGGGTCCTTTCTGTGTGGAGCTTGCATGTTCTCCCCGTGTCTGCGTGGGTTTCCTCCCACGGTCCAAAGACATGCAGTCATGCAGCTGATTGGACATGCTGAATTGCCCCTAGGTGTGATTGTGTATGTCTGTCTGTCTGCCCTGTGATGGACTGGCGACCTGTTCAGAGTGTATCCTGCCTTCCGCCCAATAACAGCTGGGATAGGCTCCAGCACCCCACTGCAACCTAGATGGATAAGTGGTTTAGATGATGATGTATGTATGTATGTATGTATGTATGTGTGTAAGCTTCTGATACCTAAGCACTAATACTGCCCTCTTGTGGAGAATCCTCCCCATGCTAAAAATGAGAGTGAGTTAGTGAAATATTGGAGAGGCTCATGAGCTGCTTCACATGTACAAATACTGATGTGAAAGAGAGAACCTGTTTATTTGGAATGATTTATTATGATAAATGCAGGATTTTTGTTTGTTTGCCCATGCTATGTGAAGCGACCTTGGGTTTGTGAAAGGTGCTATATAAATGTAACTTTTATTATTATTATTATTATTATTCTCTCAGACTATCTTGACTTTCCAGAAATGCACTGTATCAGATTTCCTATTTCCAAATAAGGCGAGGGCGAGGCACACTATGCTTCACACATTTTTCAATCACATGGAACATTTACAGTATAAAAGCAAAGCAGTGAGAACACAGCATTGACAGCACAGTAAGAAGCACAGTAAGAAGCACAGTCCACACAGCTCCACAGGTAAGATTCTCTCTATATTTTATTATTTATTCACTTTTAAAACTTACATTTAGCGAACGATACATTTCTCAGCACTCCTGTAAAATATTTTCATTGATCTTTAGGAAAACACAGAACACCAAACCCCCTGTCTTTAAATACAATGGCTAACAGCAAAGGCAAGTAAAACAATACCAGTCATTTGATAAAGTCTATTATCAAGCGCTCAAAGACACAGTTTAAGGCTTGTTTAACCAACTTTATAGTGAATTTATTGACATATTCTTTTTGTGGGAATCACAGAAGTTGTGTCAGTCACCTCTGCATGGAGCACAGGGTTCATTGAGGAGCTCCTCCCGTCGTCTCAGCAGGTCTCCCTGCTGTACCACCTCTCCTACCTGTGTCTGGCTAAATTCCCAAAATTGGAGAGGCTGCTCCGGATGCGAGCAGTGGAGACCCAACTTCTCTTCGGATCCTCTGAAGCTGTTCTGCTGAAGGTCTGTTACACTTTTTCAAATCCATCTGTGTGGTGTAAACAGAGACTCATTCAGAACCAGGTTCTGCACATCAGATCATCAGAAACCCCTTCAGAACCAGTTTTAGTTCATTAGAAACCCATTTAGAACCCGTTTCTGCTGATTAGAAACCCATTCAGAACCAGTTTCTGCACATCAGAAACCCCTTCAGAACCAGTTTCTACTCAGCTGAAATGTGACAAAACATAAACTTACATATATCACAATCTTCTATCCATCACAGTGTGTGGGCACCAGTCAGAACTTGGTTTCGTCACTGTTTCCCATGCTGACTCACGCTGTTGAGAAAAATAAACCAACACTGGGCATAAAGTTCCTGGAGAAAGCAAGAACATGGATCAATGAAATTATCTGTGATGTGGAAAAGATGGTGGAGAGGTAACAATATTCATATTTTGTATATTTTGAACAAATTTGTGCAGATTAAATCTGCATGAAGTGGGTATGAATGTTGCGAAGCCTTGCTGTTCTGATTTTAGAGGGATGCTGTTTGTTTGTTGTGTTCTTCAGTTTCCCTGTTTCACTTTGATATTCATTGTCGGTGTCAAATGCCCACATCTTTAAGACACAGGAAACTGGTCTGATATTCAGTTGTATGCAAAACTGTGGTACACCTGGCCAAATTACATATTTCATTGATTTTTGAAGTGAAAAGAAGTAAACACAACCTTCCAGCAGACTATTTTTAAAAATAACTTTCTGCAATTTTAATGCAGCTAAGAGAGACATTTTGGACACAAATGCTGTGAATTGATGAAGTAAAAATGAAACCCTTTGGCCACAATCACCAAAGGTATGATTGGAGAAAAGGAGCAGCATTAGATGAAAAGTATATGGTGCCAACTGCTAAGCGTGGCGGAGGATCTATTATGCTTTGGGGTCATGTGGCAGTCAGTGGCACAGGAAACATTGCATGGGCAGAGGGAAGAAGGAATTCCACCTGTGATATGGCCAGGCTATGGCAACAGAGAGAGGAACCAACAGTTATTTCATTTTATTTTTATTTTTATTAATTCTCGGTCCATTCAGTTATGGTTAATTCATTCATTGAAAGCAGTTCCATTGTACAGACACTAGGGGGCGAGCTATGCTCATGAGTGGGCCCCTCCCCCACTCCTTTTTCAAAGCTCACGTAGCTCTTCCAGTGCAGTTCTGAAAACACTGTGAGAGGCTAACTGTTTCTGTTGGTTTGCAGGTCAGCATAACATACATATATCCTGTAAAATACAGAGCTAGAAGTGACTATACGGTTTTAAAACCATTATTAATCAGTTTAACCACATTAATTTGTGCCATGATGAAGAACAAATGTTTGTTTGGTGAAGCCCTCATGTTCTATCTGTGTGAAAGTGTGCTGGTTAGCTTACTGGGAATGGGTGACTTGGCTCTGCTGATATAAGTCTCTCTCTATCTGTGTAAAAGATGTGGATTTGGATTCTTAAAAAATGTTCTTGATGAATGGGTATTTTGTCATTGTACTGATGAACCTGTGAAGCTTTTATGATACATTAAGCAAACTAATGGAGAAAAACCAAGCTTAGCTAAATGATTAAATGCGTGAGTGCCTCGTGTAGCTCTTCCAGTGCAGTGTTGAAAACATGTTAGAAAGCTGCATCGCTGTTTTCTTGGTTTGCAGCTTTACAGAAATGAGAAGAAATAACGAAGGTTATTCACATGGAAGCCCTTCTTTTCTCCCATGTGTGCAACACAACAAATATTATTGCATTCTGGAAGCAAATGTGACATAGTCAAGAAACTGAAGTTGAAAAGAGGCTGGCTACTACAACAATGAGCTAAAACATCACTTTAAATCAGCCACAAACAACTTTAAGAACTCCAAGCTGAAGCTTCCAGGAATGGCCTTCACAGTGCCCTGATTGAGAGTGAGATGGTCCAAGAATATAGCAGAAGTAGAAGTTTCTTGCAAGGAAAAGTGGGTGAAAATTCCTTAAACGGCAAGAGAAAGACTCCTAGCTGGTTAGAAAAAAAGTGCTTCCGCTATTAGCTGTGAATGTTTATGTTTAAATTAAACAAATATAAAATAACTGAATTCAAATTTCCAGAAAAAATGTTAGTTTTTGCATTTACTTCCTTTTACTTCAAAAGTTAATAACATATGTAATCTAACCAGCAGTGCTCAAACTGTACAGAGGACAGATAAAGCTCATATAACAGACACACTAAAAGAACTCGAGAACCGCTGACTACAAGACATTGCATGACTGACTTCAGTATTTCACATTCAGGTATGACATACACAACAGAGATGTGGCTACGACTACCAGTGACATCATCACTGAAAAGAAAGAGACTGAAAAACAACTTACTCAGCTCTCCCAGGAGACTGAAGCAATGACAAACGAGATTAACAAGCTTGATGCCGAGCTGAATAAAACCACTGCACAGCTCACAGAAATAGAGAAGCAGATTGATGCCAAAAATCGTGAGCTCCAGAATCATGTAAGAGATGCGGCTGCTAAAAGCAGTAGCCTTAGCATCTTTGCTGCCATTGTGCCTTTCATTGGTCTGATTGTTAAGTCCATTTACGATGCCGCAACTGCTCCTGGTGTTGCTGAAAAAACCAAGGCTCTTGAATCAGAACTAAATCGACTCAGTGCTGAAAAGATTTCTGTGAAACAAAGAGAGTGGAACTTGCAGGTCCAGACAATCGACTGGCGGATGAAGCTGGCCAAACTACAGATCGACAAAGGTGAGCGTCTTTATCTGTCAGTGTATGTTTGTGCTTGAATGTTTCCATCATCACACATTAAGCCTTTAAATTATGACAAAAGATTCTGAGGTAGTGATATTGCTGATTGACACATCTTTCAAATATGGAATACAAAACATCTAATCAAGCCAGCTGAACACTACACAGCCTTCAAAATCCTAACAGATTTCAAAAAACTTTTATAGAATTTCTTGTCTTTTTTTGTGAGGACGCTCGCACTAGACAGCTAGGCAAAAAAGGGAATATGACAGAAAATGAGTTTTAGCAATGAAAAAGTCCCCCTCATTCACCTCTGTAATCGTATGTAACAAAGCTAAGCAGGACAGAATCTGTGAGTGTCTGTATAAGAGGCAGGTCAGGGTTAAAATGAGGCTAAAAATCATGCGGCGTAGGTCGGGCTTTAAGTACTGAAAAAAGACAAATAGAAAATAGAAAAATAGAAAGGGGCAGCTTAGCTGACAGTGTGAACACGTGTGTAATGCTGCATGTTTTGTCCTGTTACAAAATAAAGTGTTTCTTCTGTCCCTGCTTTTGCTAGGTTCTATCCCTGAACCAACCCACCTTGGAGAAGTCCAGCGTTTTCTGACTAAAATCCAGAAGATTCTTAATGAGCTTAAACGCTTCTGGGAAAACGTCTACAGCTTGCTGGGCACCATCAAAGACAAGACCTTTGTTGATGAAAATATTGTTGATGATCCGGACCTTAAGGATCAATTTTTGAAGTCAATCCATACAGCCTCAGAGGTAACTGATGTCTGTTAGTCTGCAAGTAAAATTACATTAGACAGCCGTTCTGCATGGACATTCAGTAACTGATTTGGTTTGCTTTTGGTTGTTGAATTTGGCAAAAACTATTGTTATTGTTATTTTTACTTTATGTTTTTCAAATGAAATAGTTTTTAACAATGGTGTTTTGAGCCCATAAGTAACAGTACAGGTAACAGTCTTTATGTCCTTGTGCATGTTCATGGGAAGCTTAGTCTGTACAATTAACAACATCTGTCATGTGCCTTTATCGTAGCAGACTGAGCTACATGCACTTTTGAAAAGGTTTGAGAATGACAAGAATTCCTAAAATCGAGGTAAAATATAAGACACTGTCAGTTTATCAACTGCAGTTTTAGTGCTCCTCTACAAAAGAATAAAGCTGTAGATGTTATACAGCTTGCTAGTTTAGCAGGTATAGCAGATGTCTAACTTACAATGTTTACCTCATTACTTCTTTAACCAAAAAACAAAGTTTCTACATCTGCGTGTCTGTGTGACACCCATGTATGTCTATTCGACTACACTGATCCGCTGTAAAATAGATCATAATCTTTATGTGCAAATGGAAAAAAGAAAGAATGCCTGACATTACAACTTTACTTCTTTAGCATCAATAGCAAATGGTGAATCCCACCAACTCTAGTGTTCAATGTTAGAATATTCTGCATTCTTAGCATAACACATCCTTAACATTAACATTTAACATGAAATACTAATCAAATGTTGGGTCAAGTGGTTGAAGCTGCGTGGCCCCAAAGTTCAACAAAATCCTGCACTTTGTTCAATTTCACAGATATGGGGATTTTTTGGTGACTCCTGTAATAAAGCTGGTCAGATATTCAGAGTGCAGTCCAAGGATGCCTACAAATTCCTGGAGATTGAACCGTCCTCCCTCTCAGAGGACGTGTGGCAGAAAGAATACGACAGTGTGAAAGACCAGCTGCAGCAACTGAAAGTCTGTTTTGACCAGCCATCAACACCAGCCATCCAAAACTGATGATGTAAATGCTAATGTGCATTTCCTTGTGAGGCCATCAGATGAGCTCGTCAATTGAGATTAGTAGTAGTCAAACTGTAAAAAATTGCTATATAAAGCAATCTAATTACTGCTATGACTCACTTCTATATGCACCTCCTTAGCATACTTAGCTTTTATTTTAATTTTTTTGGGCGGTTTGCGTCTGCATTTCTTTCTAGTCACCAGAGTTATTCACCCCATTAACCTTAACTGTGTTAAATCTTGAGTGTTTATGCTGTAGATGGTTCTATACAGAACCATTTTGATGAAAGTTCTTCTGTTGCTACAAGCTTGATGTAGTAACAACAGAAGAACCCTTTTTGGTTCTTTTTAGAACACTTTTCAAAAGGTTTCTGCATAGAACCATCTACAGCACATTCTCCATCAATCTCCATCGATCCACGATGCAGAGAACCTTTTAAACATGCAAAGCGTTCTTGAAGGGGTTCATGGATCTACAGTTACCAAAGAACCATCATTTTAAGAGCATGATTAGCTTTTATTTGCTTCTGCATTTCTTTCCAGTCACTGAGTTATTCACCCCACCTTAACTGTGTTAAATCTGTGTTTATCTGTTCTAATGAGGACCCACTGAGAGAGACTGTGTCCTGTCTGCACTCTCCAGTGTTTATTATCGATATATTGATTTTCTGTGGTTAAATATGTATCCATTGATTTGCTGTGATTAGCTATATTATCTATGGTATAATCGTCTATAATCTGGTGTGATTTTGAATGTAGATGTGCTGTGAACGAGTTTGCAGCTCAATGTTAAACAGGACAAAACCACCACCTGGTATTTAACATGCCAAGAATGGTTTTTGACCTCTTCCCAAAAAACAGCCTGGGAGCTCATTGTCCCAGAGTTTGTGTCCCTCTCTTAAATTACAGGTTACGTTGTGCCAAAGAAGTTAATGGCTGTGCTAAAAGAACAGCACATGCTCTCTTTGATGAGTGTCTGAATATGTTCAGATCAGTTTATGCAAATGGAGACACTCCAATTTTATTGGCTTCATCCCTCGAATGATGGTGAGAGAATTAACTTGAAAAAGGGTGGAGAGGTGACAGCTTGACTCACAGACTCCAAACAATACTGTTTTGAGAACAGAGAGAGAAAACTGAACCGCTGGGAGTAAATCATGCTCGAGTCTCTCTGATTTATGTCTTGTTTCTTTGTTTCACTCTTTACTTTCCTTTACCTTCTGCTACAATTCGCTTTTGAACATTTAATCAATGTTTTTTTTGCATAATTCATCATTTTTCTCTACAGCATTAAAAAACCTGTTTTTGTCTGATGAATTGTCCTAATAAATCTGGCAAAGGCATTTTTTGACTGTTCTTTGACTCCAAAATATAAAAAAAAACTCACACCACCATAAACTTAATTCTCTGTTATTAGTAATATTTAATAATATTAACTGGAGTTAACTAGATTTACCACACAGTGTTTGTGCTGGTGTTGATGTTGAGGTTTGAACTCTGCAGTTATTGATCAGCAGAGCGTTGGTGTCTTTTATGCTCTGTGCTCCTCAGAACTCGGTGACCTGCTCTGTAACTTTACATGGTCTGACACTTTGTGGCTGAGTTGCTGAGGTTCCTAAACGCTTCCACTGTTCAATAACAACACTCACAGTTGATCATGGAAGAAAGTTTGCGAACTTGTTGCATCGGTGGCTTCCTATTACAGCCCCACGCTGGAATTCACTGAGCTCTTTATACCCATTCTTTCACTAATGTGTGTAAAACCAGGCTGCCAGGCTAGGTGCTTGATTTTATACACCTGTGGCAATGAGACTGAATGAAACACCCAAATTCAATGATTAAGTGGTGTGTCCCAATACTTTTGTCCATATAGTGTAACTGGAATGTTAAATGTAGTGTTTCAGATAAGCATTTAAAGGCAACTCTCCTTTTATAATACTCTTACTTTCTTCTCCTCTAACTCCTCTGTGCTCACTGCAACAAACTAGATGTGCAGTTTCAGCTCTGAGCTGTAATATTCCTACTTCTCTTTAATCCTGTTCACACTGATTGAAAAGAAATTTAATTAAAGTCCGCCTCTATTGTTACTCTCTACTATTACCCTCTATTTGTTACACAAAACACACCTTGTAATTGAAAAGTTCCATGATTAGTAGTAACCGTAGATCAGATGCTGAACAGTGCTCTGAGGAGACCTACGGATAAATAAACAAGCAGCAAATACACAGTGTTTGTTTTTTGCTGCAGAGATGTTCAGTAACTAGTTACTAGATATATCTGTACTTTTCTGAGCAGTGTCGTGTACAGACTTTGGTGAGGACAGAGGCTGAGGTGTTTCAAAAGGGCATTTTGTGGAAAAGGATTTTTCACTATATGAAAATAACATTGTGAACAAAGTTACTCTAATATTGTTTTATTTTCTATGTATCACATCAGTTGCCACCAGTTCCCCTTCGTACCAGCAGAGGTCTCTCCCACCTGAGTACTGAGCCTCTGGGAGGCATCTGCAAGTAATCAGACACCATTTTGTTAAGTATTTATATAACTGTAAGCATAGATATAAATACAAAGATGTAAATACATAGATATAAATACGTATACTGCATAGTCTGTTGTTCTCAATCTCAGGTGAAATGCCTGTATGTCCGCCATGTTGGAGCAGTCAAGATGTGCTGGTAAACAAATACACATGCAGTAAGATATAAGTTTTTACGATTAAATTAGCCATAACTTCCTTATAACATAACTGATTTTCATCAAAGTTGTTCTGTTATAATCCTCAAACATTTCTGCATGTTGCTAATTATTTAAATGCGTGAATTACATGTCTCTATATTTGTAATGCTCTCTGGTTTCCAACAAAATTTAAATAAGCAAGTTGATACGGCCATAAAAAAGTGTCCAAGTGAATATTTAGATTTACATTCATCTGATGCTTAAAGGCAGCGAGAGACAGCAGATCAAAACACATCAGAATTAAAATGTTTATGATTTAGATTTGAAAAATCTGAACCTTAATGTTAACCTAGCTGTCATAAAAATACACACCAGATATAAATACAAGTGTATGTGTCCAATTGTAGAGCTCAATCAGATTGTTTTTTTTAGTTGTCTTTGTTTTGACTATTTGACAATCTGTGTACATATAGAGCCCTGGACTGGTGACCTGTCCAAGGTGTTTCCTGCCTTCCGCCCAATGGCCACTGGGACAGGCTCCAGCTCCCCCCACGACCCAGAAGAATAAGTGGCTTAGAAAATGTGTGTGTGTGTGTACATATGGAGTACTAAAATAAAAATATTACATGTGTGTCTAGTTTGCATGGTTTGCTGTCAGTTGCATTCATTTCTATTTCACAATTGTGCTGGTTAGCTGGCAGGAGCAGCAGGAAATGTATTCGGTTTACACCTGATGTTCAAAACCAGTTTAACGCAGAGCTCAAGCACAAAGTACAATAGTCTCACTCATCAGCAAATCCATCAGTGTGTGAATCGCTAATCTTTATGCACATAATGCAATAAAGATGCTAATCTAATGTGAACATTTCGTGCAGATCAAAGTGTGATGTGCCTACAGTGCACACTTAGCACTAATAATCTGTGTAAATAAAATAGTACTAAGCTACTTTACATCAAGAAAAGAAACGCTGTATGGATTAATAAATGGACTTTTCCAGTCACTGATTTGTCAGCCTGGGTCTGTTTTTGTTGTCACATGACATGCCATAAAAAACAAATGTCAGAGTACTTTAGTGAAAAGGCAACTCATACAAGCTGCATTGTTGTAAACTGAAACGGACAACCAATAGGAAATACGTGCCAATCTTGGTGCTAAATTATAATACCAAATACCTCTAAACAGTTCTGTTGCTAGGATCCTATGTACAAGGACTTACAAACAAGACTTACCTAAAACATACTTCTAAAGATGCGTGTAAATGTTTCTATAGGCTGACAAGAATGTTACTGCAGGACACTACTACTTAGCTTTCATGTTACGGCCAAGACTGATTCAAGCATTGTAAAGCTTTCTGTGGACGAAACGTGTGTGACCTTTTTCACCAAAAACTAAAACTTCAGTGTTGCAATGTGAAACAACTCACTGTCAGAAAATATGGGAATGTTTTTTGAAAATATATTAAAAAAAAAAAACACAAGTATTATATCCACTGTCCCGTTATTGATGTATTAAAGTGTGTTTCCTACATGCAGTACTCTTTTTCACATCTCTGTAATTAGAACGTTGTAAATGTAACTGCATTTCTAGTAAGACGTTTTTCATAGACTGCATTTTGTCTATGTCTTCTGAACTGATGTGATCATAATTATTTTTGTTATTATTCAAACGTGCTTGCAGTCTGTCCAAAGTAGGCATAATTTTAGCAACTTTGTTTTGCAACTTGCAAGTGATTCTGTAGCCCTACATAGTGATCAAGTAAAATGTTACTGTTCAATATAATGTAATGAAACGCAGTGAACATGGGTAAAACTGAGACGGCCTGACTGCAGTGGCAAATGACATTTGGGAATGTCTTTAACTATGGAAACAAGGTCCCAGTTGACCATAACTCTTGTAATACTCAACGGTGACTGGAAAAAAAAGGTGTAATTCAGTACTGACAATATTGAATATGGGTGACTATACTATATTCATAACTAGAACTAACTGTATTTACCACATTGCCAGTCTCAGTGCAATGCATGGGAAGAAACAAAATGCATTGATATATGCAGAAAGACTTATGACTGCTTTTTATTAGTAGCATCCACTCACGGTCAATTGGGGTTAAATAGGGTGTTAGAGAGTGCTATTCATATAAGATACTAATAAGATACGTTAAAGATGCAGCATTAATTTTCAACACAATCTGACAAGCACTGGCTGAGAAAGACTTATTTCCATTTTACAGATACTCCTAGACCTGCAAGCAACAATTTGAAAGCAACAATCCTTCAAAGTTAGGTTTCTGCATGACTGACTGTATTTTCTGGACAACGCATTTTTCAGGAGAAACTGTATGGAGTAAGATTACTGTCAAAAAAACTTGTGCATGCTCATCTATATCTGTACATAAACATATTCCTTATACACAGAAGTATTTTTGACATCTATGTTGACAATGTTTAGATTGTTCTACAAACTTTAATAGACCAGTGCATATGAAATTAAGCATGTATCACTTTTAAAGGCCACAACTCAACAATTATGGCGAATGAAGGCCTTTTGATAAACTCTGACTTCCTTGGATGTTTTGTTCTCTGTCTGTAAATAAGGCCCAAACTTTAGGCCTTTCTAGGCCTCACAGGTCAAAATGACAGAAGATGTCTGTGTGGCAATTTATGCTTGAACCCGCAGTTTTATGGAGAAAGACAAACTCAAAACAAACTAATGTGCTCCTTGGACCATTTAGCTGTGCCTTTTTAATTTTTGGCTAATTTGTCTCTCACAATTTGAAGTTGTTATATAAATAGAGATTCTGAAAAGATGTGTAAATTTTCATCCAGATTAGTCTTTAGGGGGCGCTACAGTACTCAAAAACACTTACGATCATTATAAAAAATCTATTTATACATTTTATGTCAGAGATTGAATTTCTTGTTTGGTATTTTGACTTATTAATTCAAAGACTACAGCTTATCCGAGGTGAAAAGGTCAATCTGAATAAAACTCAGTGAACATCTTTGTTGAAAGGCACCGATAAATAATCATAAAATTTGGAGATCTTATGACATGTTCTAAGGTATTTAGCTTCTTTTCTCTATGCCAAAATGTCCTCTTATGTGTGCATTGATCTTCCTGATGGCATGCATATCAAAGTGTAAAACTCTGGGGAACAAATAACATTGCAAATAAAAAAATAAAAAAAACTATGCCAGAAACTGAAACTTTTGTAATATGTTTTTGTGTCAAAACCTTTTTGCATGTTAAACAAAGCTCTGTACATGCAAACTTTAGCATATATAATGTGAAAAGACCACTGCTCCTCATTTATGGCAAATGAAGGCCTTTTGATAAACTCTGACTCCCTTTCAGTTTTTTTTATCTATCTGTTAATAAGGCCCACATTGCTTTAAGCCTTGATAGGCCTCACTGTCCCAAACTGCATTGGGCCTTATTGTGCTGATTCATGCTTAGACTTTCAAATTGTTGCTTGCAGGTCTAGGAGTATCTGTAAAATGGAAATAAGTCTTTCTCAGCCAGTGCTTGTCAGATTGTGTTGAAAATTAATGCTGCATCTTTAACGTATCTTATTAGTATCTTATATGAATAGCACTCTCTAACACCCTATTTAACCCCAATTGACCGTGAGTGGATGCTACTAATAAAAAGCAGTCATAAGTCTTTCTGCATACATCAATGCATTTTGTTTCTTCCCATGCATTGCACTGAGACTGGCAATTAGGTAAATACAGTTAGTTCTAGTTATGAATATAGTATAGTCAGCTTGGTTTAAACCCATATTCAATATTGTCAGTACTGAATTACACCTTTTTTTCCAGTCACCGTTGAGTATTACAAGAGTTATGGTCAACTGGGACCTTGTTTCCATAGTTAAAGACATTCCCAAATGTCATTTGCCACTGAAGTTGGGCCGTCTCAGTTTTACCCATGTTCACTGCGTTTCATTACATTATATTGAACAGTAACATTTTACTTGATCACTATGTAGGGCTACAGAATCACTTGCAAGCTGCAAAACAAAGTTGCTAAAATTATGCCTACTTTGGACAGACTGCAAGCACGTTTGAATAATAACAAAAGTTATCAGTTCAGTTCAGAAGACATACACAAAATGCAGTCTATGAAAAACGTCTTACCAGAAATGCAGTTACATTTGCAACGTTCTAATTACAGAGATGTGAAAAAGAGTACTGCATGAAGGAAACACACTTTAATACATCAATAACGGGACAGTGGATATAAAACTTATGTTTTTTTTAATATATTTTCAAAAAACATTCCCATATTTTCTGACAGTGAGTTGTTTCACATTGCAACACTGAAGTTTTAGTTTTTGGTGAAAAAGGTCACACACGTTTCGTCCACAGAAAGCTTTACAATGCTTGAATCAGTCTTGGCCGTAACATGAAAGCTAAGTAGTAGTGTCCTGCAGTAACATTCTTGTCAGCCTGTAGAAACATTTACACGCATCTTTAGAAGTATGTTTTAGGTAAGTCTTGTTTGTAAGTCCTTGTACATAGGATCCTAGCAACAGAACTGTTTAGAGGTATTTGGTATTATAATTTAGCACCAAGATTGGCACGTATTTCCTATTGGTTGTCCGTTTCAGTTTACAACAATGCAGCTTGTATGAGTTGCCTTTTCACAAAAGTACTCTGACATTTGTTTTTTATGACATGTCATGTGACAACACAAACAGCACAGACCCAGGCTGACAAATCAGTGACTGGATGATGGTGGTATTTATCAATGAAAAAAGTTTTGTTTTTTTTTCCATTTATTAATCCATACAGCGTTTCTTTTCTTGATGTAAAGTAGCTTAGTACTATTTTATTTACACAGATTATTAGTCCTAAGTGTGCACTGTAGGCACATCACCCTTTGATCTGCATGAAATGTTCACATTAGATTAGCATCTTTATGGCATTATGTGCATAAAGATTAGCGATTCACACACTACATTTAACATTCCAGTTACACTATATGGACAAAAGTATTGGGACACACCTCTTAATCATTGAATTCGGGTGTTTCATTCAGTCTCATCGCCACAGGTGTATAAAATCAATCACCTAGCCATGCAGCCTGCCTTTACAGACATTAGTGAAAGAATGGGTCTAAAGAGCTCAGTGAATTCCAGCGTGGTGCTGTAATAGGAAGCCACCGATGCAACAAGTTCGCAAACTTTCTTCCCTTCTAAATTTTCCAGGATCAACTGTGAGTGGTGTTACTGAACAGTGGAAGTGTTTAGGAACCACAGCAACTCAGCCACGAAGTGTCCAATCATGTAAAGGTACAGAGCGGGTCACCGAGTTCTGAGGAGCACAGAGCATAAAAGACAAACCTCCTCTGGCATCAACATCAGCACAAACACTGTGTGCCGGTAAATCTAGTTAACTCCAGTTAATATTATTAAATATTACTAATAACAGAGAATTAAGTTCATGGTGGTGTGAGTGGAGTCAAAGAACAGTCAAAAAATGCCTTTGCCAGATTTATTAGGACAATTCATCAGACAAAAACAGGTTTTTTAATGCTGTAGAGAAAAATGATGAATCATGCAAAAAACATTGATTAAATGTTCAAAAGCGAATTGTAGCAGAAGGTAAAGGAAAGTAAAGAGTGAAACAAAGAAACAAGACATAAATCAGAGAGACTCGAGCATGATAAAAAAAATAAAACTGGAGTGTCTCCATTTGCATAAACTGATCTGAACATATTTGGACATTCGTCAAAGAGAGCATGTGCTGTTCTTTTAGCACAGCCATTACCTTCTTTGGCACAACGTGACCTGTAAGAGAGGGACACAAACTCTGGGACAATGAGCTCCCAGGCTGTTCTTTGGGAAGAGGTCTAAACCATGTTGAGCATGTTAAATGGTTTTGTCCTGTTTAACATTGAGCTGCAAACTCGCTCACAACACATCTACATTCAAAATCACACCAGATTATAGATGATTATACCACAGATAACACAGCTGATCACAGCAAATCAATGGATACATATTTACCACAGAGAATCAATATATCGATAATAAACACTGGAGAGTGCAGACAGGACACAGTCTCTCTCAGTGGGTCCTCATTAGAACAGATAAAAAAAGATTTTAACATAGTTAAGGTTGATAAGGTGAAAAACTCAGTGGCTGGAAAGAAATGCAGAAGCAAACCGCCCAAAAAAATTAAAATAAAAGCTAAGTATGCTAAGGAGGTGCATATAGAAGTGAGTCATAGCAGTAATTAGATTGCTTTATATAGCAATTTCTTACAGTTTGACTACTACTAATCTCAACTGACGAGCTCATCTGATGGCCTCACAAGGAAATGCACATTAGCATTTACATCATCAGTTTTGGATGGCTGATGTTGATGGCGGGTCAAAAGAGACCTTAAGTTGCTGCAGCTGGTTTTTCACACGGTCGTACTCTTTCTGCCACACATCCTGGGAGAGGGAGGACGGTTCGATCTCCAGGAATTTGTAGGCATCCTTGGACTGCACTCTGAATATCTGAACAGCTTTACTACAGGAGCAGCCAAAAAATGCCCACATCTGTGAAATTGAACAAATTCCAACAGTCAGGACTGAAGTGCAGGATTTCGTTGAACTTTGGGGCCACGCAGCTTCAACCACTTGACCCAACATTTGATTAGTATTTCATGTTAAATGTTAATGTTAAGGATTATGCTAAGAATGTAGAATATTCTAACATTGAACACTAGAGTTGGTGGGATTCACCATTTGCTATTGATGCTAAAGAAGTAAAGTTGTAATGTCAGGCATTCTTTCTTTTTTCCATTTGCACATAAAGATTATGATCTATTTTACAGCAGATCAGTGTAGTCGAATAGACACACATGGGTGTCACACAGACACGCAGATGTAGAAACTTTGTTTTTTGGTTAAAGAAGTAATGAGGTAAACATTGTAAGTTAGACATCTGCTATACCTGCTAAACTAGCAAGCTATATAACATCTACAGCTTTATTCTTTTGTAGAGGAGCACTAAAACTGCAGTTGATAAACTGACAGTGTCTTATATTTCACCCCAATTTTAGGAATTCTTGTCATTCTCAAACCTTTTCAAAAGTGCATGTAGCTCAGTCTGCTACGATAAAGGCACATGACAGATGTTGTTGATTGTACGGACTATGCTTCCCATGAACATGCACAAGGACATAAAGACTGTTACCTGTACTGTTACTTATGGGCTCAAAACACCATTGTTAAAAACTATTTCATTTGAAAAAGTAAAAATAACAATAACAATAGTTTTTGCCAAATTCAACAACCAAAAGCAACCAAATCAGTTACTGAATGTCCATGCAGAATAGCTGTCTAATGTAATTTTACTTGCAGACTAACAGACATCAGTTACCTCTGAGGCTTTACAGATTGACTTCAAAAAGACATCCTTAAAGTCCGCGTCTTCAACAATATCTTCACCGACAAAGGTCTGGTCTTTGATGGTGCCCAGCAAGCTGTAGACGTTTTCCCAGAAGCGTTTAAGCTCATTAAGAATCTTCTGGATTTTAGTCAGAAAACGCTGGACTTCTCCAAGGTGGGTTGGTTCAGGGATAGAATCTAGCAAAAGCAGGAACAGAAGAAACACTTTTTTTTGTAACAGGACAAAACATGCAGCATTACACACGTGTTCACACTGTCAGCTAAGCTGCCCCTTTCTATTTTTCTATTTTCTATTTTTCTTTTTTCACTACTTAAAGCCCGACCTACGCCGCATGATTTTTAGCCTCATTTTAACCCTGACCTGCCTCTTATACAGACACTCACAGATTCTGTCCTGCTTAGCTTTGTTACATACGATTACAGAGGTGAATGAGGGGGACTTTTTCATTGCTAAAACTCATTTTCTGTCATATTCCCTTTTTTGCCTAGCTGTCTAGTGCGAGCGTCCTCACAAAAAAAGACAAGAAATTCTATAAAAGTTTTTTGAAATCTGTTAGGATTTTGAAGGCTGTGTAGTGTTCACCTGGCTTGATTAGATGTTTTGTATTCCATATTTGAAAGATGTGTCAATCAGCAATATCACTACCTCAGAATCTTTTGTCATAATTTAAAGGCTTAATGTGTGATGATGGAAACATTCAAGCACAAACATACACTGACAGATAAAGACGCTCACCTTTGTCGATCTGTAGTTTGGCCAGCTTCATCCGCCAGTCGATTGTCTGGACCTGCAAGTTCCACTCTCTTTGTTTCACAGAAATCTTTTCAGCACTGAGTCGATTTAGTTCTGATTCAAGAGCCTTGGTTTTTTCAGCAACACCAGGAGCAGTTTTTGCCTCGCAAATAGACTTAATAATCGGACCAATGAAAGGCACAATGGCAGCAAAGATGCTAAGGCTACTGCTTTTAGCAGCCGCATCTCTTACATGATTCTGGAGCTCACGATTTTTGGCATCAATCTGCCTCTCCGTTTCTGTGAGCTGTGCAGTGGTTTTATTCAGCTCGGCTTCAAGCTTGTTAATCTCCTGTTTCATTGCTTCAGTCTCCTGGGAGAGCTGAGTAAGTTGTTTTTCAGTCTCTTTCTTTTCAGTGATGATGTCACTGGTAGTCGTAGCCACATCTCTGTTGTGTATGTCATACCTGAATGTGAAATACTGAAGTCAGTCATGCAATGTCTTGTAGTCAGTGGTTCTCGAGTTCTTTTAGTGTGTCTGTTATATGAGCTTTATCTGTCCTCTGTACAGTTTGAGCACTGCTGGTTAGATTACATATGTTATTAACTTTTGAAGTAAAAGGAAGTAAATGCAAAAAATAATTTTTTTTCTGGAAATTTGAATTCAGTTATTTTATATTTGATTAATTTAAACATAAACATTCAGAGCTAATAGCAGAAGCACTTTTTTCTAACCAGCTAGGAGTCTTTCTCTTGCCGTTTAAGGAATTTTCACCCACTTTTCCTTGCAAGACACTTCTACTTCTGCTATATTCTTGGACCATCTCACTCTCAATCAGGGCACTGTGAAGGCCATTCCTGGAAGCTTCAGCTTGCATGTCTTAAAGTTGTTTGTGGCTGATTTAAAGTGATGTTTTAGCTCATTGTTGTAGTAGCCAGCCTCTTTTCAACTTCAGTTTCTTGACAATGTCACATTTGCTTCCAGAATGCAATAATATTTGTTGTGTTGCACACATGGGAGAAAAGAAGGGCTTCCATGTGAATAACCTTCGTTATTTCTTCTCATTTCTGTAAAGCTGCAAACCAAGAAAACAGCGATGCAGCTTTCTAACATGTTTTCAACACTGCACTGGAAGAGCTACACGAGGCACTCACGCATTTAATCATTTAGCTAAGCTTGGTTTTTCACCAAAATATCATAAATTGGTGATATATCTTAATACATCATAAAAGCCAAAATAACCAAAAAACCAAAATGACAAAATCGAGAACAATTTTTTTTTATTATTATTTATTTTAAATTTTACCCGATTTTTCTCCCCAATTTAGTCGTCTCCAATTCCCCCCGCTAGTTAGGACTCCCCCAATCACACGATACTATCAACGCTAGGAGGGTGAAGGCTAACACAGGCTTCCTCCGAGACCTGTGAAGCACCACCGCTTCTTTTCGAGCTGCCGCTCACGCAACGTCACTGGAGAGCCGAACGCGCTCGGAGGAAAGCGCCAACCGCCAGATCTGTTACGTCAGCTAACAGACGCCTGCGCTGACTAGCATCGCGCTGAGTGAGTGATGGGGGGAGAAGGGCAGCCATCCCACCCACCCAAAGAGAGTGAGGCCAATTGTGCTCTCTCGGACTCCCGGCTACGGATGGCTGTAGCATCACCAGGGATCGAACTCGCGATCTCCTGATGATAGGGCCAACGCTTAGACAGTTGCGCCACTCGGGAGCCAAGAACAATTTTTAAGAATCCAAATCCACATCTTTTACACAGATAGAGAGAGACTTATATCAGCAGAGCCAAGTCACCCATTCCCAGTAAACTAACCAGCACACTTTCTCACAGATACAACACGAGGGCTTCACCAAACAAACATTTGTTCTTCATCATGGCACAAATTAATGTGGTTAAACTGATTAATAACGGTTTTCTAGCTCTGTATTTTACAGGATATATGTATGTTATGCTGACCTGCAAACCAACAGAAACAGTTAGCCTCTCACAGTGTTTTCAACACTGCACTGGAAGAGCTACGTGAGCTTTGAAAAAGGAGTGGGGGAGGGGCCCACTCATGAGCATAGCTCGCCCCCTAGTGCTTGTACAATGGAAATGCTTTCAATGAATGAATTAACCATAACTGAATGGACTGAGAATTAATAAAAATAAAATGAAATAACTGTTGGTTCCTCTCTCTGTTGCCATAGCCTGGCCATATCACAGGTGGAATTCCTTCTTCCCTCTGCCCATGCAATGTTTCCTGTGCCACTGACTGCCACATGACCCCAAAGCATAATAGATCCTAGGCACAATATTCTTTTCATCTAATGCTGCTCCTTTTCTCCAATCATACCTTTGGTGATTGTGGCCAAAGGGTTTCATTCTTACTTCATCAATTCACAGCATTTGTGTCCAAAATGTCTCTCTTAACTGCATTAAAATCTCTTTTAACTGCATTAAAATTGCAGAACAGAAAATTGCAGAAAGTTATTTTTAAAAATAGTCTGCTGGAAGGTTGTGTTTACTTCTTTTCACTTCAAAAATCATTGAAATATGTAATTTGGCCAGGTGTACCACAGTTTTGCATACAACTGAATATCAGACCAGTTTCCTGTGTCTTAAAGATGTGGGCATTTGACACCGACAATGAATATCAAAGTGAAACAGGGAAACTGAAGAAGACAACAAACAAACAGCATCCCTCTACAAATCAGAACAGCAAGGCTTCGCAACATTCATACCCACTTCATGCAGATTTAATCTGCACAAATTTGTTCAAAATATACAAAAGATGAATATTGTTACCTCTCCACCATCTTTTCCACATCACGGATAATTTCATTGATCCATGTTCTTGCTTTCTCCAGGAACTTTATGGCCATTGTTGGTTTATTTTTCTCAACAGCGTGAGTCAGCATGGGAAACAGTGACGAAATTAAGTTCTGACTGGTGCCCACACACTGTGATGGATAGAAGATTGTGATATATGTAAGTTTATATTTTGTCGCATTTCAGCTGAGTAGAAACTGGTTCTGAAGGGGTTTCTGATGTGCAGAAACTGGTTCTGAATGGGTTTCTAATCAGCAGAAACGGGTTCTAAATGGGTTTCTAATGAACTAAAACTGGTTCTGAAGGGGTTTCTGATGATCTGATGTGCAGAACCTGGTTCTGAATGAGTCTCTGTTTACACCACACAGATGGATTTGAAAAAGTGTAACAGACCTTCAGCAGAACAGCTTCAGAGGATCCGAAGAGCAGTTGGGTCTCCACTGCTCGCATCCGGAGCAGCCTCTCCAATTTTGGGAATTTAGCCAGACACAGGTAGGAGAGGTGGTACAGCAGGGAGACCTGCTGAGATGACGGGAGGAGCTCCTCAATGAACCCTGTGCTCCATGCAGAGGTGACTGACACAACTTCTGTGATTCCCACAAAAAGAATATGTCAATAAATTCACTATAAAGTTGGTTAAACAAGCCTTAAACTGTGTCTTTGAGCGCTTGATAATAGACTTTATCAAATGACTGGTATTGTTTTACTTGCCTTTGCTGTTAGCCATTGTGTTTAAAGACAGGGGGTTTGGTGTTCTGTGTTTTCCTAAAGATCAATAAAAATATTTTACAGGAGTGCCTAGAAATGTATTGTTTGCTAAATGTTTTAAAAGTGAATAAATAATAAAATATAGAGAGAATCTTACCTGTGGAGCTGTGTGGACTGTGCCTCTTAAAGATGCTCAATTCTGTGTTCTCACTGTGCTTTTATACTGTAAATGTTCCACGTCATTGAGAAATATGTGAAGCATAGTGTGCTTTGCCCTCACCTTATTTGGAAATAGGAAATCTGATACAGTGCATTTCTGGAAATTAAGATAGTCTGAGAGAATGTAGAAGACTGTAGAATTTTGTCCACTCTTAAAAATTAAGGTGCCAGTTGGAACCAAAAAGGGTTCTTTGGAGCAGCGCCACAGAAAAAACTTTGAGTTGCTAAACAGCAAGTTGAGTTTTAATTTGGATGTGGCAATTTTCAATGTAACTTTATCATTTGTATTATCTTTTTGGTAACACTTTCTATGAATGTCACGTTTGTAAGCATCTATAAACACATTTATAACATGTTATAATGCATTCATAAGGCATTATAAACATGATTATAAACATTTATAAAAATGAATTACACTTTATAGCCATGTTTATTATACATTATGGATTGTTAATATAACGCATTATAAATAGTGTTAATAACATGTTATACTGTGCCAAATTCAGTGCCAAAGAAGTCAGTCCCAGGTTGGAGAGCGTAAAGACAAATACCAAGCTAACGGTGGTGTACATTACCTTTCCCACACTGGGTAAAACACTGATGGCAGCTCTAGTTTAAACTCTGACATTTGAAGCCTGTAATGTGCCTTATTGTGAATGTTTTAGTGTTTCAGTAAATCCTTCAGTAAATACTTCAACTTGAAGCCTCACTCTGAACACTGGAGGAGGCTTTAGTACAGTACGCTTCACTTTACTTAGAGCGGACAAATACGACTTATGAGCTCTTATAATTTATGATCAGTACTTATAATGTATTATGTTAACAATTCATAATGCATAATAAGCATGGCTATAATGTGTAATGTATTTTTATAAATATTTATAGCTATGTTTATAATGCCTTATGAATGCATTATAACATGTTATGAATGTGTTTATAGATGCTTACAAAGGTGACATTCATAGAAAGTGTTACCGAAATTTCATTTAATAAATATTTAATAAATATCTTCATTTGACTGGGTAAGTATGTGGTACCTTTGGTCACACCTCTGAAAAGTCTACTACATTATCAGAGCAGCACTCTTTGAAAAAAGTGAATCAGAAAACCTGACTACCAAGATCCAGAACTCACTTTCCTCATAGCTGGTTATGGCCATGCAACACTAACCAATCCTTAACTGTTGCTGGGCATGTTTTGGTTTTGGCAAAAGCAGCAACAACCTGACTGGCATCTCATAATGAAGCTTCTGACCAAACATTGCCCACACTTACCAATGCAGTGTGGTCTGCAGTGTGAACACCCACACTTGTATAAGTTGTGAGGTGTTATCTTGTGAGTGAGGTTGAGGTTAAACGCTGGCCAGCATGCTCATGGCAAGGCGACGTCAACTATCAGAGTTTGAACGAGGCATGATAGTGGGTGCCAGACGGATGGGACATTCAATTTCTGAAGCTATTCCTAGATCCACTGTGTCACATGTGCACTGGGAATACATCACAGAAGGCATTACCACCCGCAGTAGACAGCGCATTAGTCGCCCATGGGTGCTTTATGATCGTGACCGGTGACGTCTGGCTAGAATTGTCCGTGCGAACAGACAAGCAACTCTGGCAGAAATCACAGCCACATTCAGTGCAGGAGGCCCCACATGCATGTCCCACAGGTCAGTGCAGCGTTCTTTAGCTTCAGTGGGATACAGGAGCAGAAGACCCACCAGAGAGCCTCTGTTAACACCACAAGATTACTAACTGGACCCTAGAGGACTGGCAACATGTGGCATGGTCCGATGGTACCAATTGTTTTGGGCTGATGTTAGGGTTCATGTGTGGCGCAGACCCCATTAAGCAGTGGACCCCAGTTGTTAACAAGGCACAGTGCAGGCTGGTGATGGTTCCATACTGGTGTGGTGTGTGTTCTCATGGCATGGGTTGGGTCCACTGGTCCTCCTTAACATGTCATTGACCATCTCACTGCTTGGTGACCATTTGCAACCCTTCATAGACTTCCTGTACCCCCACGATGATGGGATATTCCAGCAGGATCATGCACTGTGCCATCAGGCCCAAGTTGTTCCGATGAATGATGTGGCCTGCACGTTTGCCCCAATCGAGCATGGGATGTAGTGGAGAGGTCCCTTTGCACCATAGATCCTGGCAGAGCCACCACAGTGGTGTGGGTGGCTATCCAGACAGCATGGCCCAACATCCCTCCTGATGTCTTCCGCCTGTGTGTTTACATATGTGCATATTTTAATATAGAGTCCCTATCAGTTCATTGTGTTAGGAACATAAACCCATTTCAAACCCAGTGGTATTTTTTGTGGTTTTTAAATAGACCCTTCCAAGACTCATTTTCTGCCCAAAATTGTAAAAATAAAACATAAAATGTGGTCTGTGCAAAATCTATGATAATTTTTTTTTGTTTAATTTTATTAATGATGAAATGATCAAAAACATCTATAATAATATCCTGCTATCACCTTGCTTCCATGAAAAATCAGCTCAGAATATCAAACATCTACTATATGCATTCCACAGCCTAATTTTGTGGTTTGCACCAAAAAATGAATGTTCTTCCAGTATGTAATAAACATTTTCTTATCATCAATATCATCAATATTTTGCATGGAGAGCCCATCATATAGTACACTTTTGACAGAATCCAAATTGCAGGGCTCCACTACAAAGAAAACGAATGCCTGCTGTCCCCCCACATGGCAAATGTAGTATGCTGTTGTCTTAAATACAAACACGGTGACTACACTCTACGTCCACTGAAGCAAAATCCTACCTTTGGTATGTGAAACACTTTAAATACTTTTTATTTTGCTCTATTTTGTTTTACAATGATGCTGTAAACATTGCAGAGCATGTAGACATTCTCCCAGACCTGCTTTTTGAGCCTGTGGTGTTTCAGGAGCATCTTCAGAAGACACCAATACCCGAAGTCCTCTGTGCACAGTATGAAAGGCCAGACAAACATGAGGCTGCTGCAAGAGTCCAGTCTCATTTTAGACAGTCACAGCATGAGGATGACTGGGCAAGTCAGTAAATTTTAAAGTAGTTCTTCCAAAAATAATGTCCATGTATAAAATTACTTTGAATTCTCAATGATGGCCTTGATACTTATCCAAGTCAGTGTACAGGGAGGGTTTGCATTTTATCAGCATGTGTTCTTTATTGGACTACAATTGCATTTGTCTACAGTCTTGTTCACTCCTCCCTTCAAGCTGACACTACTTAATCTGCTTTCTTCACATCTTGCTGAAAGGGTGCCCCCATCAGTGTGGTATGCATGGTATTAGATTAGAGTATAAACGCAGCAGCAAGTCAAGTGCATTAGGATTAGAAACATTTTGAAATGTTGCTTGACAATCCTTTATTTTGTTTTTTTCTTTCAAGAGTAGGAACCCG